TCATGCCAAACCAGTCTTATTTCATTCTTCAACACAGTGACTAAATTAGTGGACCAGCAAAATACTGTGGACATAATATATTTAGATTTCAGCAAGGCATTCGACCACAACCTACTTCTTAGTAAGCTAGAAAAAGGTGGAATAGATAATACCACCACTAGATGGATTCACAACTGCTGGCAAACCATACTCAACAAGTTGTCCTTAATGGGTCTAAGTCTACATGGAAGGAAGGAAGCAGCGGGGTGCCACAAGGTTCTGTCTTATGCCCAGTACTCTTCAATATCTTCATTAACGACTTGGATGAGGGAATAGAAGGGGAACTTACCAAATTTGCAGATGATACTAAGCTGGCAGGAATAGCTAACACCCAAGAAGATACGTTCAAGATTCAGATGGATCTTGACAGACTAGAACACTGGGCCATATCTAACAAAATGAAATTCAATGTAGAGAAAAGTAAAGTCCTACACTTAGGCAAGAAAAACCAAAAGTACACATATGGACTGGGTGAAACCAGGCTCATTAACAGTAACTGTGGGAAGGATCTTGGAGTCTTAGTGGACAACCAGCTAAATATGAGCCAGCAGTGTGCAGCAGCAGCCCAAAAAGCTAATGCAATCATAAATTGTATTAACAGAGGGATACAATCAAGATCAAGGGAAGGACTAATACCACTCTATAAAGCCTTAATATGACCACACCTAGAGTACTGCATCCAATTTTGTTCATCACATTACAAAAAAGATGTTGAGACTCTAGAAAAAGTACAGAGAAGAGCAACCAGGATGATTAGGGGACTGGAGACTAAAACATATGAAGAACGGTTATAGGAACTGAGCTTGGCTAGTCTAATAAAGAGAAGGACCAGGGGAGACATGATAGCAGTCTTCCAATATTTGAGGGGCTGCCACAGAGAGGAAGGGATCAAGCTATTTTCTAAAGCACCTGTAGGCCAGACAAGGAATAATGGATGGAAACTGAACAAGGAGAGATTTAACCTGGAAATAAGGAGAAACTTTCTGACGGTGAGAGCAATCAACCAATGAAACATCTTGCCCTCAGAAGTTGTAGGGGCGCCATAACTTGAGACTTTCAAGAAGAGATTGGACTGCCATCTGTCAGAAATGGTGTAGGGTCTGCCGCTTGGGTGGGGGGTTGGACTAGATGACCTACAAGGTCCCTTCCAACTCTGACTATCTGTTATCTGAGGAAATAATTAAGAAAATAATGGAATGTGCAGAAATGAGTAGATTGACAATGACAATTAGAGAACCAGAGGAAAAAGATTATTATAAAATTTGGAATTTATGTTATGAATGGCTAGATAGAAGAATAAGAAATTGAAATATGTAAGTATAGTATAATATCTATTACTGATAATTGAGTTAGACAGAGTAAGAAAATGAATGTGAAATATATTATTGAAAGTCAATAAATATAATGTTAAGGCTAATATAATAAGTGAGATATGCGATATAAAATACTGATTAGAATGATTATAAACATATATAAGTAAAATATGTATGATAATGTTATTATGTGCACAAAGAAATGTGTACAACTGACACTGATGAACAGAAAGAACGTTTTGTTTGTTTTTTGTTGTTATAAAAATAAAAATGTTATTAAAAAAAGAAAAAGAAAAGGAGATAGGTGGCAATCTTACCACAAATAATTTTTTAAAAGCTAAAAAGTATAAAAAAGTGAATTGTGTCTATGTGTGTATGTGTACATACAAAAACATAAGGAGGGTGAGGAATATAGGATTAAAAAGCATAAAAGAAAAGGCACAAAAGTGTAATTTAAAGGGAAATACCTGAAAATAGACAAAGTATATATAAAAACAAAAGTATGTCTAAAATTTGAAGGGAACAGTAGAAATCTCAGATGGATGTAGGAGAATATAAAAGTTAATATATAGCAAACTAAATCTATTATAATACAAAGGCTCTTAGGTAACAAACTAAATGCTCACTAATGGTAGTTTAAAGAAGAGGTCATTATCTGATAGATTTTAAGTGTAGCTGCACAAACTTGACAACCTTATATACTGTAGCAGGATTAGTATCTTCAAGCAGCAAAGAAGTGTAAAATTGTCTTGTGATGCTTAGGCATTTATACAATAATGGTGAGATGAGACTACTAAAATGTCTGTCTAATACAGGCACTGGATGAGTACATGTAAGGTGACCAACTGTCCTCCTTTAGGGAGAACAGTCCTCCTTTTGTAAGTTCTATCCTCCCTCGAAAAGTGCCCTCCTACATGTCCTCCTTTTTTATATTTGAAGACTAATCTGTAAATCTCCATATTTGATCGATGCCAATCCTATCCATTGTGTGTGATGTGACGTATTTGTATTTGACATGATGATTCGCTCAGTACAGTGCGGCGAGATACGATTATAAGACGCATGCGCTGCACACAGGAGAATTATTTTGAGAGAGTGCCCCGCACACAAGAGTGTACCATGTGCAAGAGTGCACCACACACAAGAGTGCACCATGTGCAAGAGTGTGCCATGCACACGTGGCTTTGGGTTTTTTTTCAATTTATTGTGTCCTCCTCCTCATTGTAAAAATGTTGGTCACCTTAGCACACACTCTGTTATTTTTGTGTCACACAGGTATTGTTTCTCCAGGTAAGGAATTCTGCTTTATCAGCTTTCAAGGAAGCTGAGGGGATGCATGAAATCTGTCCTGAGGAATTTGAGAATAGCAAAAAAACCTCTTCTGTGCATGCACCCAGCCCAGCTCTCAAGCTCTCAGGGCACCGGGACCCCACAGCCCAGCTCAGCCCAGTCCCACTTCCACAAGGGAATGCCCGGCTCCTTTTACCTCCTCCTCGAAGCTGCTGCTGCTGTGCTCACTCTCCTTGACCAGTTTGTTCATGGTGTGTATGTAAGGGCAAAGTTTGTGGGTCAGAGGGAAGCCCACTCCCTCTCCATTCAAGGAGACATGGCTTTGTAACCAAAGCATCCACAGCGATGGGATGTGGGACCTGTTATGTCCTGAGGACTCTAGGAGTTCTCACTCAGGTCCATTCACTTTGCGGGGGCGTTCTCCCCTTTACCCATTGGTTGGTTCTCCCCAGCAGCCAGCTATAAAAGCAGGCTGCGGGGTCCAGCCAGTCGCTGATCGCTGCGAGCCAGTTCCCGGCTTGGCAAGCACGGTCAGCCCTTTATTGTTATAATAAAGTATTGTTGCACTCATGCTCTGGTTCAGCCTCTCTTTCCCCAAACTTAACACTGGCGACGAAGGTGGGATGGCTAAGAGAAGCACCTTGCAACCGCTGAGTCACTAGCCGCCGATCCGCAGCCAGAGAGAGCGATCGGCCGGCGATAAGAGCAACGCTGATCCACAGCCAGAGAGAGCGGTCAGCAAGCAAAAAGAGCAAACAAAAAGAGCGAACGCTGGTCCGCTGACAGAGAAAGCGGCCAGCAAGCAATAGAAGCGAACACTGATCCGCAGCCAGAGAGAGCGGTCAGAACGAAAAGTTAGAAGCGTCTGTAGCTGCTTGTTAGCCCAGCTACAGGGAAAGTGAAGCGCTGCGAGCCGCAGCCGCTCATTGTTTAGGCGCGAAATTCAAACGGCTGTCATTTGAATTTCAAACCTAAAAGGCACAGCACGGTGCCGTAGTCAAGTCACTAACGCCCGCTCAGGCGTGAATTCAAACGCCGCCAACGGCTGACGGCCAAACTTGGCTAACCCAGAGAGAGAGAGAGGACTGTGAAAAGCCTCTCCAGAGCTGAAATCACTTGCCTGCCACAGGCACTAGAGCATTTTTCTGCTGCCCCAGAGAGATTTTTTCCACAGGTTGTTCTACCGGCCCCATCACCATGAACTCCAATACAGTCTTCCCAGCATTCAAACCGGATGAGGAGAAGTGGGAATCATACAAGAACCGCTTTAACCATTATATAGATGCAATTGGACTTGCTGATGCTGGAGAACATCGGAAAAAATCGTATTTCCTGATCTACTGTGGGGCCATCGTCTTCGATACTGCCACAACCCTCGTGGCTCCACGTGAGTTGAAAAACGTTCCTTGGTCAGAGCTACTTGAAATCCTCACTAACCACTATTCCCCCAGGCCCTCACAGATTGCCAGGAGATTCACCTTCCGTATGAGGAAGCAAGCGGACAAGGAAACCATTAATCAGTATATGGCCGCTCTCAGAACAGCAGCATTGCATTGTGGGTTTGGAACCTACCTGGAGGACATGCTCCTCGATCAACTAGTCTGCGGGGTCAAGGACCTACACCTTCAAAGGCGCCTCCTCACGAAAAAAGACCTCAATCTCGCACAAGCAGTCGAGGAGGCCTTAGCAGCAGAACTGGCAGCACACTCAGCCACCGAAATCCATGGCCCGACTGCCAAGCTGACATCAATTCCAGTCCACTCCGAGGAGGTGGTAGCAGAGGAATCCCTGAGTGATGAAAACGACGTCCACCGCCTCTCCAACGACAGACGGCCTCAGGTAGGACCCAAACAAGAAAACATCGGTCCACCCAAGCACATCACCCTGTGCCTAGCCTGTGGGGGATCTCATCTAAGGGCCACCTGCAAGTTTAAAGGAGCCACCTGCAATAACTGCCATAAAAGGGGGCACATCGCGAGAGTCTGCCAAGCCCCTCAAAGCTCAACACAAAGGCACCCCCCCGTCTCACACTCGGGGCCGCACAGGCAACTATTGAACTGTCGCACACATCACCGTGCCAAGCACACTTGCCACACTGTTAGTAAAATCTCTCTCTCCGTTTACTTAGAAGGTAAACCGTGCCGCATGGAGGTTGACACAGGGTCAGCGCTCTCAATTATCTCATGGAACACCCTCAAGAGGCTCCAGCCCAGCCTATCAACTAGCCGGCTCCAGAAGTGCCAGTTTAGCCTGAAGGACTACCAGGGGAGGACCATTCCTGTAATCGGCAGAGGCAAGTTCCTTGTCAGTTTTAGAGCTTTTAAAGGTCACCTACCTCTAGTGGTAGTTAACGGCAATCTCCCTACCTTATTGGGACTCGATTGGTTTCCCCATCTCGGCCTAGGGCTAACAGGAGTCCATGCTGTCTCAACCTCAGACACTGACTCCTTATTCGCTGATTACTCAGATGTATTCAGCGATGAGCTGGGGTGTTATAACGGTACCCCAATATCATTCTCAGTCGACCCCCAGGCAGTACCAATCAGACTAAAACCGCGTAGGGTCCCATTCTCTATTCGGCCAAAACTAGATGCTGAATTGGATAAACTATTAAAACAAGGGGTCATTGAGCCAACAGATTTCGCCAAATGGGAGACGCCCATTGTCACACCCCTCAAAAAAGACGGTAGCCTGATAATTTGCTCGGACTACAAGACCACAATCAATAAGTTTCTACAAGTTAGCGCTTACCCAGTGCCCGTCATTCAGCATTTATTACACACTTTTGAACCTGGCAGTATTTTTGCCAAATTGGACATGTCTCAAGCGTATCAACAGTTCCCTGTTGATAACCAAACAGCGGAACTCCAGACCATCGTCACTCACAGGGGTGCTTTCCGATGCAAGCGTCTACAATTTGGCGTAAGTGTTGCCCCAGGTATCTTTCAATCCCTCATGGAGCGGATTTTACAGGGCCTCCCTGGAGTAGTACCCTACTTCGATGACATCTTAGTCTCGGCCAGGGACAGACCCCAACTCTTCCAGAGAGTTCGAGCAGTGTTAGAGAGGTTCAGACAGCATGGCCTCAAATTGAAAAAAGAAAAATGCGCCATTGCCACTAGACAGGTGGACTTTCTGGGTTATAAAATTGACGCCTCAGGCATTCACCCCCTGGAGTCCAAGGTTAAGGCAATTCACGAGGCACCCACTCCAACCTCCAAAACTGAACTACAGGCCTTCTTGGGGCTATTAAACTTTTACGCATCTTTCTTGCCCCATAAAGCATCAGTAGCCGAACCCCTACACAGATTACTAGATAAAAAGTCACCTTGGCACTGGGGGCACAAAGAAGACCATGCTTTTCACGCCGTGAAATCACTACTCACGTCAGAGGCGGTACTTATTCAATTCGACCCCAACCTTCCTTTAGTCCTGGCAGCAGACGCATCCCCCTTTGGAATTGGGGCAGTATTAAGCCACAGGCTTCCCAATGGCGCTGAGGCGCCCATTGCCTTTTTCTCCAGGACGCTCTCCGCAACAGAGCGTAATTACAGCCAGATCGATAAGGAAGCTCTAGCAGCTGTTGCAGCAGTGAAAAAATTTCACGAATTTCTCTTTGGCCATTTTTTCGAGCGGGTCACAGACCACAAGCCCCTCCTGGGTCTACTAGCCGGAGACAAACAGACCCCTCAAGTCCTTTCCCCTAGGATGACGAGATGGACCCTCTTCCTAGCAGCCTACTCCTACAGACTCTTACACCGGCCAGGTAAAACATTGTCCCACGCTGACGCTCTCAGCCGCTGTCCCTTGCCGGCTCCAGCTGAAGACCCTGCTCCTGTCCACGCCATTTTCGAGGTAACCCAATTGGACCTCCCCATCACTGCCCTGGACATTGCTGCTAAAACCAAGGCAGACAAAACGCTCGCCCAGGTGCTCGACTGGGTGAGGAGGGGGTGGCCGGGTGGCAATGTGGAAAACAAATTCTCACCTTTCAAGACCCGCATGCAGGAGCTGTCCAGTTTGCAGGGCTGTCTACTGTGGGGCACTCGAGTGGTCATCCCGACCTCACTACGTACCCGGGTCCTGGAGGCGTTGCACGAGGGACACCCTGGCATTGTGAGAATGAAGGCATTAGCACGCAGCTATGTATGGTGGCCAGGCCTCGACGAGGACGTTTTCAGTTGGGTAAGTTCCTGCAACATCTGCCAGGAATCCCGTCCGGCTCCTCCCATTGCCACCCCTACTAAATGGGAGAGGGCCAGCGCTCCGTGGTCCAGAATCCACATCGACCTGGCCGGCCCCTTGCATGGGAAAATGTTCCTAGTGGTCGTGGATGCCTATTCTAAATGGATTGACGTTGCACAGCTATCCACGACCACCACACAAGCAATCACCAACGTATTAACACGCCTGTTTGTTACACACGGGCTACCTGACTCCATTGTCTCCGACAATGGCCCACAGTTCGCATCAACCGAGTTCAGCCGTTTCGCTGCCAACCTGGGTATCCGCCACATTTTCACAGCCCCATTTCATCCTGCCAGTAACGGATTGGCTGAGAGGGCCGTCAGGACCACTAAAGAAGCTAGTGGTTCAGTAAGGATGACTGGCACCACAAACTCTCACGTTTCCTGATGAGCCAGCATTCAACTCCATGTTCAGCCACCAACAAGTCCCCGGCTGAGCTCCTGATGGGCAGGCGTCTGAGGACTGTATTGGACAGACTTCACCCACAATACTGCCCTGACTCTCCCCTCGCTTCCACATCGGGGGTTAGACATTTTATCTTACAGGAGCCAGTATTCGCGAGGAACTTCGCTGGAGACCCCCTGTGGATCCCGGGCGAGATCGTGGCCATCACCGGACCAAGGTCGTATCGGGTCAGACTGGAGGACGGCCGGGTCTGGAGAAGGCACCTGGACCAGCTGCGTAGGCGCCTCAGCACCCACACTAGCAGGGACCCAGAATCACAAAGCAACGGGAGGTCTCAGCATCAACCCCACATCCACATCCTTCCCGGCGACCAGTACACACCAACAGTCAGTCCAGAAAGCCCGAGCACGGACAGCGGCGCCCAGACGGTGGACCAGCCCGATCCAGTATACGGGAGCACGTCTCCAGTGACCAACCCTACGAGTCCCGGGCCTGCCCGAACCGAGGGGCACGTTGGTGACACATACCCGGCTCTGCCTTCCCAGACAGACTCTGAGCGGACAGTCAGCGTTCCAGAGCTGCGCCGTTCCGGGCGCCAACATAAACCTCCTGCCTACCTCAAGGACTATGCGTGTTCGCATCTGGGGGGAAGGGGTGTTATGTCCTGAGGACTCTAGGAGTTCTCACTCAGGTCCATTCACTTTGCGGGGGCGTTCTCCCCTTTACCCATTGGTTGGTTCTCCCCAGCAGCCAGCTATAAAAGCAGGCTGCGGGGTCCAGCCAGTCACTGATCGCTGCGAGCCAGTTCCCGGCTTGGCAAGCACGGTCAGCCCTTTATTGTTATAATAAAGTATTGTTGCACTCATGCTCTGGTTCAGCCTCTCTTTCCCCAAACTTAACAGGACCATTACCAGAGGTCGGGGGAGAGAACAAGGGGATGGCAAAAGGGCAGCAGGGTTGCTGGTGGCCAAGTGTAAAGGCAGGACTTCCCTCAGACTCTCCCTCTCTCTCTTTATAATCTCCTTCTTTCCTCCCTCCCTCCCTTCCTTTTCCCCTTTCTTCTTTTTCCTTCCCTCATTTTCCTTTTTTTTTCTTCCTCTCTGCTCTTTTTTTCCCTTCCTTGCTCTCTTCCCTTCTTCTCCTCTTTCCTTCTTTTTTCTTTGTCTTTCCTCTTCCCTTTCTCCTTTCTGTCCCTTCTTGGATGCTCAAATGCAAAAGGGGAAACATTTCTCGATGTTTCCTTGCCTTGGCATCAAATGGTCCTTTTGCTAGTAGTTTGTGGCCATTTAAAATACTAAGTACAAACTAGGCTCGGTTTATACAATGCTTGCATTTAGCAGGGGTGTCCATAGAGAACAGTACAGCAAAACTGTCAAAATGGTGGCTGTGATAATTGATCAGAGCTCATCTGTTTTTTATATGCAACAGCTTTAGCAAAAGAGGTAAATTAATTGCTTTTTTTAAAATACATAATCCTTAAAAGGGCTTTCCTGTAGGGACTCTGCCACGGTCTAATTCAGACTGGAAATGTAGCAAAGGAAAACATTTTCCCCACTTTGCTGTGTCCTATTTTCCCCATTGGAAATGGTTGTTTGCAACACACAAGGAGGGAAACTTCCCTAAGAGCTCACAATTCAAGAATACCAATGTTAACTTGGATTGCCAACAAAGTTCTGTCTGTGACAAAACAGAACACAAAATTGCTTTTTTCTTTGAACAGGGGCATCTCCAATCAAGTTGCCTTTCCTTCCTTCCTCTTTCCCTCCCTCCTTCCCTGCATCCCTCTTTCTTATTTGCTTCCCTCCCTCCTTCCTTCCTTCCCTTCTTCCCTCCTTCCTATCTTCCTCTCCCTCCCCCCGTTTTTTTTTAAATTGCCAGAGAGACTCCAGGTCGAGTTGGCAGTGAACAGAGGCTTCCTATTTTGACCACTCCCTCCTGTTGATGCCTCTGTGCCTGAAGGGCCTCTGTGTGGCTCTCAGCTCACCTCTCTCAGACCTGTGCATATGTTTTTGTGTGTGCGTGTGTGTGCACACACACAGGGGGATATCTTACCCCTTACAATTCCATGCCCTCAACAGACCTTCTGTGATGGCAGGCTGCAAACTAATGAAAACTGGGTTTTTTGAGTGCTTGTTTCTTTTTCTCCTTATTACCACTTCAGTGGTGTGTGCTCAAGGTATTGTGGACTGCACATCCCTCTCAACCTGCCACCAATCACATTACACCCTGACCCCCAGCTCCCATCCCCAGCTCAGGGGTGGGATTCTACCGGTTTGCACCAGTTCGGTAGAACTGGTTGTTACGGTTCCCAGTAGTTCAGAGAACTGGTAAAATGGGCCTCTGGCTGGCCCCACTTCTCCGTTCCCTGCCCAGTCAGTCCCTATCATACATGTGCAACATCGTGTGCATGCACAACATGCCTGCAGCCTGCTTTTGCCTGCCAGCCAGGCCAGCCATTGCTGCCTGCCTTTCACTGTGCAGAGTGAAAAGTTTGCAAGACCCCTCCCTTCAGGAAATGGCTCCTGGGCAGCAGAGAAACAGCCCGGTTGAATCCTGTTTCTCTCTGCTGCCCAGAAGCCGTTTCCCAAAGGAAGAGTGCTTGCAAGCTTTTCTCTCTGCCAGAAGAGGCTCTCCCAGCAAGAGCAGGTGAGAGAAGCAGCCCAGAGCCAACATGAGCCTCTCCACTGTTCCTTCCAGCTGAGCAGCCCTGATTTGCCTGCTCACAGGTAAGCCTGCGAATCATGCTAGCACTACCTCCACTGTCCCCATACCTCACCTAACCATTTCTGGGGCTCCCCAGGCTCACCCAGGCTACCTACCTGCCCCCCAATCCCCAGGCTCAGATGGCTGGCTTCCCCACCAGCGCAGCCCCATCCTGCCGGTGGCACTGGCTGGGGTCCACCTACCTGCCCCCCCATCCCTGGGCTTGGCTGGCTGGCTAAGCCACCATGCAGGGCTCTCCCAGCTCTCCTTATCACGTGGTGGCTGCGGCTCAGTGAACTGTGGTGCTCCAACTGGTAGGGCAGTAGACCCAGCTGTTTCCTGTAAACAAGGCCATCATCGCAGCGCCTCCACCTCCTCTGACTGCTTCTCCCAGGGGCAAAATGAAAGGAAGCAGGTGGAGGTAGTGGAGGCACTGCAGCAACAGCCCTGCCTATTGGAGGCAGCCAGAGCAAAGTCCATTGCCTCTGCCACCTGCAGAGGTATTTATGGAGGGCTGGAGCCGGGGGGGGGTTGTGCTCAAAGCACCATTGCCACCGCTTACAGGAGGCCGCTGCTTACAGGAGGCAGCCAGAGCAAAGTCCACTGCCTCTGCCACTCGTGGAGGTGTTTTGTGAAGTCCAGGGTCTGGGGGTGCTCAAAGCACTGCTGCAGCCACTGCCGCCACCACGCTTGGAGGTATGTTTTCCTTTTTCTGCCACATGCTGCTGACTTGAGCTCTCTGGATCATTCAGTTCATCCCAGACCAGGTGTGTGTGTGTGTGTGAAAGAGAGAGAGAGAGACAGAGGGCAAGAAAAGAAAAAAAGAAAGAGGAAGGGAGAGAGAGAAAGAAAGAATGAATGAAAGAAAGAAAGAAAGAAAGAAAGAAAGAAAGAAAGAAAGAAAGAAAGAAAGAAAGAACAAGAGAGAAAGAAAAAGGGAGAGAAGGAAAGTAAGAGCAAGAGAGAAAGAAAGAACAAGAAAGAAAGGAAGGGAGAGAAAGAGAAACAAAGAAAAGAAAGAAACAGAAAGAAAAAGAAAGATAGAAAAAGAAATAGGAAGGAGGGGGGAGAGAGAGAACTCTGTGCTAGTATTTTTCATTGTTCCATTATTTATCGTATATTAATATTTTACACTGTCCCTACACCTAGAGTGATTTTACTGCCTTTCTTTTGCCCAGGTATTTTCCAGGGCTTACAATACATGCATTCAATGTCTACGGTCCAGAGCATAAATACATTTGTGTTTAACAATTGAAAGGGACCTTGGAGGTCTTCTAGTCCAACCCCCTGCTCAGGCAGGAAAACTGAGAATGCCAAACTCTGAGTAGAGGTCCTGAAAAAGGTGTCAGAGTAACAGAATAACATTTAGAAGGGACCTTGGGGGGAAATTCTATACCATTTCAGAGAAATGTCTGTCCAGTCTTTTCTTTAAAACCTCCAGTGTTGGCACACCCAATGTAGTAGCAATTGAGATCCTATAGATGGTGCAAGCAGCAAACTGCTGTGTCTAATACAGGGACCTCTTTGCATGATCTCACTCCCTACTATCTTGGCCTGGAAAGTCCTGGACTTGTACATGACCTCACTTTACTAACATCATTACTATTCTTAAGGATTGTTTGGGAGGTTTCACCAATGCTGCATCTATTCTCCAATCCAAATGCTGTATCTATGTTACTCTTCCTTGCTTGTAAAAATAATATAAAAGTAATAAACACTACGTGGTAGTCAGTCATCTTTTCACACTGAAATGACTGGTTATTGAACTCTTACAAGTGCCACCCAACCAGGGACATTAATCAACCCTATGGGGCAGCAGCTATCAACATGCATACCATTGTCTGGAACAAACCCCCAGGTGCGCACCTTGTCCCACGGGACATATCAGTGGTAAGTATGGGCTGCATTCTATCTCAGCACCAGCAGAAACATGTTCAGGAACTCAGATTCCTGCTACATAAATCAGGTGCAAAAGTACCTGAGACTAAAAAGGCTGGTTGAGGAGATAGGAAAGCTTTGTCCCTAGTACCCTGAGCGCGGGATGCTCAGGTTACAGGATTGGATAAAGATTGGGCATACTTTACATCTTGAACCCAGGGCTCCAGTTCAAATATTACATTGATGGTATCAATACCATCAAGCAGTGCAACAATTTGGCTCTGATGTCTCAATGGGACAACAATTAACTACCAGCCCCCCTCCTGATTATGATCAGGTAAAAATTGTCATCCCCAAATAATTTCCAATTGAACCTACAGCTCCTTCTGAAAAGATTAAATATTTTGCTTGTCCACAGCCAGTTTACACCCCATAAGAAAAATATTGGAAGAACAATTAGACAAAGGGTGGGATATAGAAGAAATAGCAGATATGCTTTCTGTGTGTCCAATGCATGCCATGGGACAAGTAGATCAGAATGGAGTTCAAATAGTGGAATATTGCCCTCTGTCATATGCAATTTTAACAGAACTTAGAAAAGGAAATAGAGATATGGGATTGGGAAGTACTTATGTGCAGGGAATGTTAGAAGCTACTATGAGAAATCATATCTTAGTACCTGAATATTGGAAAACTACTTTTTGCATGTTGCTTACTCCAGCATAATATGTAGTTTGGGACAGCAAATTTAGACACCAGTGTGCTGTGCGTGCCCAGCATTCGGGGGGGGGGGCATTTACTCCTGAGCAATTGTATGAATCTGGTAATTTTGCTCCAGTTGATGCTCAGATTGTTTTACCAGCTGCCACTTTAAAAATTTCTTCTGAATTGAGCATTTTCAAAGGTGCCTGTCTCTAGCAAGCCTCATCAAGCCTTCTCTAATATTAGGCAGAAGGCTACTGAGCCATATCCTGATTTTATTAACAGATTACAGGATGCTTTACAACAGCAGATAGACAACCCTGAGGTTCAGCATGAGTTATTGATGAAGTTGGCAAAGGAAAATGCCACTTCTGAATGTCGAAGGACAATTTTTGGTCTAGGAACTAACCCTGGTTTGGCAGAAATGATTAAAGCATTACAGGATGTAGGAACAGCTTCTTATCAAACTAATTTGTTGGTGACTGCTTTATCTCAAGGCAGTTTGTTTACGACTGCTTTGTCTCAAGATGGCAAGTCTAAAGGAAAGTGTTACAACTGTGGTAAACCTGGTCATTACAAATGGAAATGTTGTAATTCAGGAAGAGGTATGTCTACAGCTCACCCCCCTATTCATCAGGGGTTGAAAATAAGACCAAAAACAAAGTGTTCAAAGTGTCAGAAGGGTTCTCATTGGCCAAAAGAATGTTGGTCGGGAAACAGCTGACAGGGCTGGTCTCTGGCCCCAGTTCAAATAGAGACAATAAACCAACAATAGAAAATACTCCTGCAGCTACAAAAGGTAGTGCTGGTATTGATTTGATACTGCAGGAGGAAGTGAATTTTAAATTTCCTGGGTAGGTTCAAGTAGTTCCATCACAATTATCAGGCCCCCTACCACAAAATTATGTAGGGCTTGTCCTCCCTAATTCAAGTATGGGTAAAAAGGGTATTTTTGTTGATAGATTTGGATTATTCTGGAATCATTTATGTCCAATTGTGGACTAATTTTCCTCAAATTTTGCCCATTTACTCTAGCCCTGCTCAACTCCTGCATTTGCCTTATTTTGTCCTGGCAGGAAGAAAGCCAAAAGAGAGAGGGGAAGGAAGTTTTGGTTCTACTGATCCAGCCACTTCCATCATAGCTGCCATCACTACCCCAATCACATTTCAACAGCCCCGTCAAATCATTTTGTTACAGGGTAAGCCCTTTGAGGGAATTTTGGACACTGGAGCGGATGTTTCAGTGATTTCTGCCAGGCAGCGGCCTGACGCCTGGCCAACTGAGCCCTGTCCAAGTGTGTGGGGTGTGGGGGATCGTCAATGTGCACATCAATGTGCAGTTTATTTCAGCCCATTTGCCGAATTCAGATTTGGTCATTCAGGTCCGTCCTTTTATATTAGATATTCATGTCAGCCTTTGGGGACTTGACCTGCTCAATAAATTGGGAGCCACCCTCATTCTGGAAGACTGAGGCTACTGCCCTTCCATTGAATTGGCTGGTTAAAGAGCCGGTATGGATTGATCAATGGCCTATGTCACATGAAAAATTTATGGCTCTCCATCAATTAGTAAGTGATCAGCTGCTTGCTGGTCATGTTGTCCCTTCTAATAGTCCATGGAATACCCCTGATTTTGTCATGAAAAAAGTGGCAAGTGGCATTTCCTTCATAATCTTCATGCCACTAATTTATGTATTCAACCTATGGGACCTTTGCAGTGTGGAACGCCTAACCCTAATTTGATTCCTCAAGATCACGAAGTAATAGTAATTGATTTAAAGGATTGTTTTTTCTCTATTCCTTTATGCCTCTCTGATCAAGAAGAGTTTGCATTTACTGTGCCTGCAGTGAATCATTCAGAATCTAATAAATGTTATCATTGGACAGTTTTGCCACAATGAATCTTAAACAGTCCCACATTATGCCAGCTTTATGTCGCTGCAGCATTAGCTCCTTTTTGCAAAGGTCATCCATTGGTTTTGATATATCATTATATGGATGATATTTTAATTGGAGCCCCAAAGATACAACCAAATTGGCTTTCAGAACTAAAAAATGATTTAAGTATTTATGGATTGCAGATTGCTTCAGAAAAAGTGCAGCTGCACTCTCCTTATCTTTATTTAGGGCATAAAATGTTACAATCTTATTCTGCTCCAGCTTTTCCTCATTTGAATTTACCTAAAGTTATTTCTTTAGTTAATTTGCAACAGTTGTTAGGCAACCTTAATTGGGTTCATCCATATTTTTCTTTACCTACACATTTACTTAGTCCATTATTTGATTTACTGACAAAAGGAAAACAACCGCAGATCTTATTGCAGTTCCACCTGCTGCTCTTGGTACAGTAGAGCAGATTAATGATATTCTAAATACTCAGTTTGTAGATCACATTCCTCATAGAAATTGTCAATTAACTCTTTTAATCTTTCCTACTAAAAATTACCTACAGGAGTATTAGCTGTTTTAGAAGAAAAAAAGGTATATTGTATTGGATGGGTTTATTTACCTCATACCCCATCCCAAAATGTTTTATCATTTATCCAAACTACTGCTGAAATAATAATTTTGGGACGAACTCAAGCTTGTTGAAGAAATGGGACTGATCTAATGAATATTATTCTTCCTATCCCGAAATCTGATTTTCAATTTTAATTTCAGAATAACTTATCTCTTCAATGTGCTTTAACTGAATATGTAGGTTGTATTGCATATCATTTGCCTAAAGATCCCCAGCCTGCTTGCTTAATGACTTCTTCCTTTCCTGTTCATCCATTACTTTCTCCTTCTTCCTTGCCTCGAGCTCCTACTGTTTTTTCAGATGGTGGATGAACAAGAGGAGTGATTGCTTACAAGGATGATGATACCTGGAAGGTGTCCTACACTGCTATACAATCCTCGCCTCAACGTTCAGAATTATCTGCTGATATTTTAACTTTCCAAACTTTTTCTCAACAGCCTTTCACTTTAATCCCTGACTCTCATTATGTGTGTTATTTTTAATCTTCCAGGTGTTTATATCACGACCAGGATTGATCCTAATCTCATGGCCTTGTTTTTAACTTTGCAGCAACTGTTACAGAATCGAAAGCAGTTCTACTATGTGACTCACATACGTAGTCACTCCCCCCTTCCTGGACCTCTTTCTGAAGGCAATAGTTATGCTGATGCTGCTGTTCATATTTTACCTACTTTATTTTCAGATCCTTTCTTCAGTCTCTACTTTTTCCATCAAAATGCTAGAGGCCTCGTACAAGCTTGTCATATTCCACTTGACCAAGCTAAACAAATGGTTTTATCTTGTCCCCAATACTCTGGGGCATCCCCCTTCGGGGACATGGGAGTTAATCCTTGTGGGTTTGCCTCTAATCAACTTTGGCAAATGGATGTTACCTATGTTCCTTCTTTGGCTCCCTGGAAATATATTCATTTATCTATTGATACTTATTCAGGAGCCATTTGGGCTACACCTCAGTGAGGGGAAACAGCTAATCATGTTATTTCACATCTCTTTTCAGCTATTACAGCCCAGGGCAAACCCTCTTCTTTAAAAACTGATAAAAGGCCAGCCTATTCTTCATCAGTTCTTTTGCAATTTTGTACAACCTGGAATATTGTTCTGACTCATGGTCTTACTTATAATTCTCAAGGTCAAGCCATCGTGGAACATGCCAACAGGTCCTTTAAGGACTGCTTCCAAAAACAAGTAAAAAAGGAGGGATGTAGCAAGGTCCCCAATTTCTCATGGGTAACGCAACAAGTTCAAAACGTCTTATTTACCTTAAACCAATTGAGTGTCTCTATTCAAAATTTGACCGCTTATCAGAGACACTTTCAACAGAAAACAAGCTTGTCTCCCCCTCTGGTGTATAATCGGGCCTTGCCAGATAAAACATGGCTGGGGCCAGTTCCTCTAATTACTTGGGGGTGAGGATATGCTGATGTGCTTACTTCTACAGGACCTTTTTGGGTTCCAGCTTGTTGTGTTCATCCTGCCAAGGATGTCGTGGCACCAGTCCCCGAATCCAATCCCAGAGATGGCAAAGGTGATGCTACAGACAGCAAAGCATCCAATTCGATCCTGCCGTGCCAGTCATCCAGTGACATGGGGAGATGTGAAGAACTTGACTGCCAAAGCGCAGGCAGTGTTACAACAGCAGCAAGTAGGAAAAACTCCAGAGAATTTATGCGCTGCCGTTTTTGTGGTTTTAACTGCAAATTCCTTAGCCATCATTTGCTTATGTTTGATTGTTCACAGCTGTCCTTTGGCATCAGTGGCTGTTATTCCACCCAAACACTCACTTGAACAACAAATAAAGCAAAACCTATGGGTGCAATTGGCTAACATCACACAAAATGATGCCTTTTGATTATCTGAAGCTTATAATATGGAAAATTTGCTCTCTACATGTTTAGTTCCTGTTTGTACTCTTTCTGCAGTAATTCAAAATTTCACTGGCTTAAGCACATATTTACTAAATGGAAGTTTTAACTATGGGACTATAGCTAGTTGGGGATTTGCTGCCTATTATCCACCCGCTGACGCAATTGCTTTGCACACCCCAGTGGTAGCCATTCCTGCAAATATAACTTGCACAAAAGTAGTTAATTGAACATCTTCAAGTAAAAAACCTCACTGTCATTGCATCAGTTCACCTACTTTGAACTGCACAGCTTTTGAAGAGGCTTCCTTTCACTTTGCCCATGTTTGGTTACTGCAAGAATGTTTTTTTACACGTGGTCAAGAAACTTTTAATTATATTCTTGCTAATATTAGTGAAGCACAATGCTGCCTCAGCTGGCTAGTTCCTGTTTTTCTCTCTAAACAACAACTTTATCATTCAAATCGTTCTAGACATGGGGTCACACTAGATAGTACTTGTGACTCTGAAGCAACCTTACTTAATAAAGCAGAATATTTAGCGCTAGCTATATCTATGGTAGGCGTGCCAGCACTTGCCGCTCATGCTCACCTTAACATTAACTCTGTTGCATGTAATTTAGCAAAAACAATTAATGCTACTTCTTCAGCTATTTCATCAATCAACCATGAGATGCAAAAATTTAGAAAAGCTATTTTACAAAACCGTGCTGCTATTGATTATTTGCTTCTATGCCAACATTTGGGTTGTGAAAGTTTCCAGGGATTGTGATGTTGTAATCTTTCTGATCCAGCATCAGCTCAATATTTTACACAATTTGGCCTTGGATTTAAAAATGGATAATGCAGGATCTTGGTGGGAAGGCTTTTGGGCTTGGTTACCCAAAGGCTTAATGGGAAATATTCTATGCTATTTAGTTATTATTGTTGTTATTTTAATTGGTGGGTGCTGCCTTGTTCAATCTCTCTCCTCTCTTTGCAATATGTGTATCACAGCTTTTAGCCCTAAACCCTCGCCTACATTGCCTCAGGGTCAAGTATATGCCCTATATAAACAACTGCAAACATGCTCTTCTACTGATTATTATAATCCCCTTAGTAACCTTTTATATGACTATGCTTTGTCTAACAAAATAAAAAAGAGTGAGATGTAGTAGCAATTGAGATCCTGTAGATGGTGCAAGCAGCAAACTGCTGTGTCTAATACAGAGGCCTCTTTGCATGATCTCACTCCCTACTATCTTGGGCTGGAAAGTTCCAGACTTGTACATGACCTCACCTTACTAACATCACCGCTATTCTTAAGGATTGTTTGGGAGGTTTCACCAATGCTGCATCTATTCTCCAATCCAAATGCTATATCTATGTTACTCTTCCTTGCTTGTAAAAATAATATAAAAGTAATAAACATTACGTGGTAGTCAGACATCTTTTCACACTGAAATGACTGGTTATTGAACTCCCACAACCCAGAATATTTGGTGGCAAGCAGTTCCACTGGTTAATTGTTCTCACTGTCAGGAAGTTTCTCCTTAGTCTTAGTTTGCTTCTCTCTTTGTTCAGTTTCCATCCATTACTTCTTGTTTGCCTTCTGGTGCTTTGGAAAATAAGTTGACCCCCTTTCTTTCTGGCAGCCCCTTAAAAGCCTGTTGCTTATCACACTCTTGAGCAAAGCATGTGAGCCATTTCCTCCTTTCAGTGGTCCATGAGAGTACATCTCTAGTATGCAGATAATAAAGTCAAAAAAAGATGAACAACATTTTTACAGAACTATAGATAAGTTGAGGCTGGGTGTGACAAGGAATGGCTGGGAGGGGAGGAGCCAGGTGAGTTACCCCTTGACATGAGTGACATTGAATGGTCACGCCCTCACAATCCCATGTCCACCAACCCACACCCAGCCAGTCACATGACCACACCCAACCAGCAAGCCACACTCACCCAGTTACATGACCACCAAGCCATGCCCACAAGTTAGGCCATGCCCATGGAACCGGTTGTAAAGAAATTTGAATCCCACCCCTACCCCAACTCCATGGAAGACTGCAAGAAACTCCCATTGCAGCTTCTCTTATTTCATGTTTTTTGTCTTCCCC